TACAAGTTAAAGAGTTTTAAATGTATTTTTGATATATTAATTTATATAAAAAATAAAAAATAAATAATAATTTTAACATTTATATTATATGTATATTTTTTAATTAATAATTAATAAAATTAATTTTAATTTTACTTTTTATTATATATATTAATAATAAAAAACAAAATAAATATATTTATAAAAAAATATATTTATTTAACTTATGCATTAATTATTAAATTTTTTATCATTAATTATTATTAAAAAATATAAAATTTAACATAATTTCAGTAGCATGTATCATTTTAATTTCAAGATTTGATTAAATAAATGTTATTTTGTTAACCTCAATTAATGGTATAAAAAACCCTTATCGTATCTACCATTTAGACTCGATCGTGCTAGCTGATGATTCTAAATTATTTTTTTTTTTAAGAGACGATTCTAAATTTCTAATTATTGGCTTTTTCTAGTATTCTTTCAACTCACGGCTCTTTTGAAGGAAATTTCTCTCCCTCCCCTGTTTCGGATTCCATCGGAATCTTCAAATGGCTTCGCCGATGTGTTGCTTCTGCTTCTCGATCGAGAAAGATGATCGGAAGAAGAGAACGATTGACAGCAACAGGGACGCGGACTGGGAGACGAACGACGAGATGTTATCGGATTTGAGCACGTTCTCGGTGAGGGAGCAAGAGCGGAGGTTGAAGATGGCGTTGAAGGAGGAGGAAAGGATCAGTAAAGAGGCGGAGAAGGTAGTGAAGTGGGTGAAGCAAGAATCAACTCGAATGGATGCATCTGCGATTGGAAAAATTGTCGGTGAACATGATGACGATGATGCGCCGGCAATCAAATCAGTAAAGAGGACTTGATGTGCTTTAAAATTCTGTCTGTCTATATCTTGAATTAATTTGGGGGCAAAATCAGATATAAATTCTACCCAATTTTATTGTAATTTCAGTTCTGCTTCAATTCTTACAAAATTCAAGTTTATCCGACACTTGTACATATGATATTTTTTTTTTTTTTTTTAAGTTGTAGTAATTCATGCGTTCTGTACAATTTAGGTGCTTATGTGATTAATTGTGTGAAAATTTAGGAAAACATAGGAAACGATCACAGGAAACGATCATATCATTTGAATAAAGTTGTTAGAAATTAATTTGATATGATAATTAAAAGATTAGAGGTAATTTCAATCATATTTAGAACCACTCGTGCCTGCAATCAATATTGTATCCTTTAATTCTTATATTTATAATAACCCATAAATTAGCATATGATGAAGAACACGGCATGGAAATGATTCCACTGTATGAATTATTTTCCCATTTCTCAAATTAGTTTGATCTGCAAATTGCTTCACTGTTCAGTTGTTTCTCAGCCTGAGAAAAAGGAAGAAGAGAGCAAGAGAGCAGGTTGAAGAAGGCGGTGGTGGAGGAGGAGAAGTTCACCGAGGAGACTATATAATAAGGTGGTGAAATGTGTGAAGCAAGACTCAAACTCGAATGGATGCTTCCACATCCAAGTGCCCTCTAGGGGTGTGAGGGTAGAGAGAAGGAAAATTTTTTTTTTTTTTATATATGTAACTTTATATTTTATTTAATAAATAATACATATTAGTATCTGATTTTTTAATTAAATTGAAGTTTTAATTTTAAATTATTTTATTTTATTTAATTAAAATAAAATTTAAAATTTAAAATTTAAAAATTTATCATATTAAATATTGATATTTAAATTTAAAAACTAATTATATTAAAATATATAATTAAAAAATATATCTTATTAAATGTTAATATTTAAATTTAAAAATTAATTAATTAAAATATATAATTGACTTTTAAATTTAGATATCAACATTTAATAAATTGGATTTCTAAATATAATACTTCAATTTTCAGGTTAGGACTCTAAATTTTTTTAATTATGATTGATATATACTAATATCTTATTTAATAAATTTTTCTTTTTATTTTATTTATATTTATAATATTATGTATTTTTTATTTAATAATATATAAAAATAATATATAAAAAATTATAATGATATAAAAAAGGTTCAATTCAAACTCAAGAAATAAATTTAGGTATGAAGTGAAGATAGGCCGAGGTTTGGGTTTAGTTGGTGAAATGGAGCAGGAAGATTGAAATTAGAAGTATCATCCTTAATGCATCATTGATCACCTCATCCATCAACTGCTTCCTTACATTTTCTGTGGAAAAAGGACGCTGCTGTTCTCATCTTTCAAACAAAATGCATGAAATATGCTTTGCTCAATACCCTTATTCTTTGAGTAATTTCCATTAATTATATAAATAAATACGAGCATGATTATAAACAAACATTCTATTAGGTAAACAAATGGCGACTTATCCTTGTAATTAGCAATAGACCTACCCTTTTTCCCTTCTAATTAATTGGCCTAAATCCTTCGACTAATACACATTGGTTAATTAATTAATTAATATAAAAGATAGATAAAAGAATTTTTTTTGTTGAAAAGTAAAGTAAGAAATTTTGAATTTAAGCTGTAATATAAAAAAGTAAAATATAAAAAATTTTGAATTTAAGTTTTATAGTAAGAAAGTAAGATGGGATAAGATAAAAAATAGTTATTGTTTTGAATACAAATCATAGGATACAATAGTGAGGTGAGATATTATGAGGGGTTGGATCAAGTGGTAAGCGGTTTGTTTCAGTTTAAACAAAATCTCGAGTTCGAGATTTTGTGTACGCAACAGCTCTCGTTGGGAGACTCACTAACCATTTTCAGGTGCGCGACGTGGGTCGAGTCTGGAGTAGTCGGGTGAAGCCCCAGATACCGGACAGAAAACAAAAAAAAGAAAAATAGTGAGGTGAGATGAAAGATAATAAATGTTACGTGTGCAATTAGAATTAATAAAAAAGAAAAAAAGAAAAAAATAGGCAAAGGTCCCCAAAGGTCTTCCCTGCAAAGACTAAACAAAGTCAGAACGGCATGCACTTTCTGCATCAAGACACTGCAGAGATGCCAAATCGAAGCAGGAAAGATAATGCTCAACTAAATTAATTCCCCAAATTAGTAGAGTGGTTAGAGCAGTTGAAGAAAGAACCTCTCCCCTCTTTCCTCTTTCCTTCACATTACATTTTTTTTTACCTTCTTTTATATCGCCGCCATGATCTCCTCTGAACACCCTGAATCTCACCCAACCCCTAATTTCTCTTCCCAAAATGAGAGAATCCAAGCCGTGGCGACCGTTCACCTCGAACTGTTGCTCCACCGAAGACCAAACGATTTTCCGCAATTTCAGTCGCTGTAGGCCGTCGCGATCGGAATTCTCTAAGAATATCGCGCCGTTGCCTTCGTTTCGCAGGCTATCGTTCTCGGATCTCAGCCGTTCGTCGTCTACGCGGATCAACGAGGATCTCGCGCAGACGTTGGGGCCGGATTTGTATGATTTTCAGTTGAGCGAGCTCCGCGCGAGTACTCAGAATTTTTCCAGCAATTTTCTGTTGGGAGAAGGCGGATTCGGGACGGTGCATAAAGGTTATGTGGATGAGAATTTGAGGAACGGGTTGAAGGCTCAAGCTGTTGCTGTTAAGCTTCTCGACATCGAAGGCCT